CCTTACTCAACAGACGAAACGCAGAAGTGTTGTCGCTGGCAACACTGTATACCGGATATGACGTTAACTTCTCGAGCGAAGGGACATATGGTCGCATGGAGCAGCGGGAGTTCTTTTCCGTTGCGTTCCAGGACGGTGATATAACAAATAGTGCTGCTTGTCATTATAATAGTTGTTAATTCAAGTTCAGTAATAGTTAAAATATTAGGATGAAGGTAAAAACTATAGAAGTCTTATAGAAGTATAACACTTCACGCCGGTCTTCTGTCAGGTCGTGGTACTTCTCCGCACGGACCTGCCCATTCGTGCAACAGCGAAGACTGTTGTATGGCCCTCCCAAAGTTGTATTTTAAACCGACGCGTTTTATTTACAACCGACTTCAAAAAATAAGACGTTCTCAATTCGGATGAACTTTTTTTTAAAAAAACATCGCCCTTACTTTAGGATAACATTACCCCGTGTTGTAAGAATATTTTAGAAACATAAATTTCACTTGAACAAACACCTTAAACCGAAAAAAAATTCTGTAGGTCACAAAAATAGTTGTCTCGTGTGGGAATCGAACCCAAGACCACCGGTGCCAAAACCAATATCTTAGCAACTTCATAAGGAAACATCCAAATTAATTGTTCCTGTTCTGAGGTAATTAGTACCCATCATAATTGACGTTACGAATTATAGTTATTTATGAACAGATTATAAAGAATCTGTTCGATCCCATCCCTCCTTATTTCCTTACTAATATTATAAACGCGAAAGTTTGTATGTATGGATGTTTGTTACTCTTAAACATAAATACTACTGAATGGATTTTAATGAAACTTTACAATAACATAACTTATACATCAGAATAAGACATAGGCTATAATTTATATACATATTTTATGTATATCCGTCTTTCTGTCTGAATGTTACGCCTTCAGCCTATTCTACGCATACGTAGTCGCGGGCAGCAGCTAGTGGACCATATATTAGTTTTATTACGATTGGAGCATAGTACGAATCTAAGTGTCATCAGTCAATCCGTTTTCGTTTACGAATATCTTTAAAAAATACTATGTGACATTTATGTCTTGTATATGGCAACAATTACGAGAGATTCCGTATCATATTAAGTGAGTAAATCATATTCCATGTTACTTATTGGTAACGCCAGCGGATGTACTTAACGACGGCGTGTAATCAAAAGGTGTCTTTTATGTGTCATTACATGTATAAGGCGTGTATATGTAGTGTATACTGTATATCACATAGTTTTTCGAGTTATTCATTTACTGACATCTTTACAAAAAAAGTTTTCTTTATGCAAGCCTCTTTTTCAATAAGTACTAACCTGTAAAAGTAAACATGACACGAATCATAAAGAAATAAGTTTGTGTCTCCTCTTTCCGCACAATGGTACGTTGAATGTAACGGCCATAGCCGAAGCAGTACAAATAAAATACAAAGTTAAAACACAGCTACAACTTTCCGATTATTAGAATACGGAAATAAATTCGAAATATGTAGATTAAGCTTTAATAAACAATGAACCTTGGGATTCGAACGCCAGACTGGCGACACCGCATCCAGTCCCACACTAGGGTCCCTAGGATACGCGACAGGCAATAATAATACGAGCTCAGATGTCGTTCGCAACAAATGGGACCGGACGCGCTAGTCCTAGCGCATCCGGTTCCTTCGACTCTATGAATGACGGCCGATTAAAAAAAATGTAAGCTCTTTAATCGTTTTACATCACCGCTCCATATTCGACGACGGAATACGTCCAGCCAGTTAACGTGATTTAATACCGTAATTAATACTTTTTCATATTTGAAAACTTTTCTGCATAGTGCGAAATATTAGCGAATGATAGTAAATGATAGTAAGTTGTTTCCAGAAAAATCAAATGATCTGTTTGATTACGTGAAGTTTTTTTTAATGTGCAAATAAGTTTTTATGTGCCAAGCGAGCAGACGGTTCACCTGATGTTAAGTGAATACCGCCGCCCACGGACATCTACTACACCTGAGGGTTCCAGATGCGTTGACCACCTTTTGTAAATTGGGCTCCGGCTCCAAAACCTCACTCACCAGACGAAACGCGAAAGCTTTCTCACGCTTTTTTCTTTTACCGCCGTCCACGTGATAGCACATCACTTAAAATTGACAATTTCATTTGGTGACACCAGGATTTGAACTCAGGTTGCTCGAGTATATTGAATTAGAAGCGAACGCCAGGTCAATAAGATAGTAATTATAGTCTTGCATTTGATAAAGCCCGATATTTTTATTAAGGTAAAAAGATTACGGTTTCTGCGTATACAAAAATAGTTCAGCCAATCGAGGAAATGCCATGAAATTAGAGAAGACTGGCGTAGTGTGATAGTATTTATAATTAAGAGTTTCTACTTAGGCATCTTAAAGGCTCTCTCATATAACTCCTTTGATTTTGCCAATATCAAAGCACCCGTAATAATTTACCAGAATAGCTTGTCTTCACCATGTATAAAAAATAATATTGTTGTAGCTAAAACAGATTGTAAGCCGTCCTAGCATGGAAAGTTAGGCTCTATTTATTTTGATAAAATTCCTGTAAATAGTAATTAATGAATTTAAAGAGTTGTAGAGAACAGTGTAGTCATTCAAAAATAAAATAAATAAACAGAATAACAAAAATTGCCAATAGAATGTTTGTGACACGACAAATACTTAGATTATATGGTACGTGTTCCTACGGAAGCTAAGTTGTGTTTCTTAAATAAAGTTATCTAAGTAAAAGGAAACAGGACCTCTGTAGCGATCAGTGAAGGAACAAAAGACATCAACGAGATGTAACAATCTACAGAAGTTTGGATGCAAAGAACCTAATTTGTCGTTCTTTTTAATGTTTAAATATTAATTTATACTAGAAGATTTTAGTGTTTTACAACAAAAGTTTTATTTTTCAAGTAGGTTTAATGTAATTGTGCAATCGTAAAATGTAAAACCTAAATAGAAAATAAGAGTAAATACATTTTTCTAAGTTTTGTTCTAAGGAGGACGTAGATCATTTAATGATAACGATTGGAGTCGATTACAGTTGGTGGTGGTGGTGACGAGTGTTCCTCTTTGTCTTAAGGTTCCTCTACAAGTAGTGAAGGTTAGCTATCAGCTTATGAAAGTCTTCCTTCTTTTTAGCATCGCGGAATAACTCAATTACGCTAGTTATCCCTGTCCATACTCGAATGTTACCAAACCATGACTTCTATCTTCATCCAACTCTTATCTGCCCATCATGATGAGTTATAAGACATACTACCTTTGATTTTGAAGAACGTGACGCCAAGACGAGCGAAGCGGCTAGTTCATCATCTTTGGTCTTATTTTATATATCAGGCATCTTAAAAGCATAACGTTAAAAAATAGCAGATTTTGTTACATCAGTTTATCCTTCCGATTGTAAAGTCAGTGCCTTTATGGCAAAAGGGGGAAAGGTGGAACATGTATTTACTGTGATTACGTGTTTGCCACCTAGGTCTAAATCACTGCTAACCACAAGGTAAGTAAGACTCTTAATGCACCTTGTGAAATGAGAAAATACATAGGTCGTTATTTTACTAGATAACGAAGAAAGTTTGGTTGGGGTTTGTAAAGACTGAAATTCGACTTGGTCTCATCGGGACATACTGAGGAATAGGCCGTAGTTAAACAATGGTTCAAATTGGAAAGTTAGCAAAGTTTTGTTGTCTTTCCCTCGACAGGAATTTTCTTCCCGGGTTCAGGGGTAGGCAACTAGCACTAAGATCGCCAGGCCGGAATGGTCAATGGTCGAAATGCGAGCGCAAATTCGAAAAGACACCGGATGTGCCACCATACATAGCTAATGAGCCCGGGTAGGAAGTGACGTAACACCGTGTGAAATGCATTAGCATCCCGAACGCTGCTTGTCTTAATTACTGGCCATATTTGGCCACCCCGCCGGCGAATGCCGTTACCTGGAGAGTGGCGGAATTTGACTCAATTCTTTCATTGGTGGTCAAGTGATTGAGAAGACTGGTCAGACATCACAAACATTACGGGTTCAGATCCTAGTTGAGTGCATCGGTGAGTTTAGCGAATTTCTTACGCGTTGGTAACCCTGTCCAGCGTTATCATAATCTTACATTTTTAGCCATATCGATAGTTCTATTATCTGTCAGCTTTTGGTTTACTACTGAATATAGTTAAAGAAGTGAGTGATTACTGTTTAATAAAAAGGCTAAATGTGAGTATGTTTTTGTGTTTAAAAATTTTATATTCTCTGTTAAGGACTCTTTAATTGCACACCTTTATAATAATAATTAATCTTACTGTTATAAATTTTCGTTCTTCCTGATTATCTTTGTCAACGACTAATAATGAAATGATCCGAAAAATATCGAGAAAAAAAGTTATTACCTTACCATCGTTTACAATTTACGATGTTCCTTTAAAATTTATTATTAAATCAGTTAATTTGACATATAACAAAAGTATGTTTATTTATTCCGTATCTTTCTATCTATTTCTAGTGATCTTATCTATTTGTTGTGCCTAACACTTTCACGGTTCGCTAGATGCTGTATGTGTGTTGAGAGATTTCCGCAACTACTTGCTTTTTCAATAAAAAAGTACTTCATGGATTTCGTAACAGCAAAATAATTTTTATCACATTAGATTAAGGTAAATTTAATGCTACTTCAAGCGAATTAGGATATTCTTTTTTCCTGTAATGCTAGATGAAAAGACATTTAAATGAATAAATAAATAAATCTTAGGATAACATAACAGTAGCTTTACATCCCTATTATATCAGTGGAATGTTTACTGAGCAAATTAGTGTTGATATTTATGAAGATGGGAAGTCGGCTGTAGTTAGATAAGCTTCACTTGAGAGAGTATTGTAGGATTTTATCATCGTCAAGTGGTAGTATTATTTATGCTTTTGAGTTTCGTCCGGTCGTTGGGGTTAAAAGCGTATCGATTTTACTAGTGCTGCAGAAGTCCATTGGCGGTTATCCGGATGGAAGTGACTCTGGTCTGTTAGCAAGGTGCACTCTGTGCGTCCGGCCGGGGAATCGAATCCGTGGCGGCGGAGGGGGGCGCTTGCTACCAGGGCGGCAGAGCGCGGCGCTGGCAATTTGGCGCGGCCGCGCCGCGACCGGTCGGGCGGCTACCGCGCTACGCGGCGCGCATGTGTGCGTGCCGTGCGCGTGTCCATTGCGCACGTCACAGCAGCGCGCCTTTATTCATCACATTTTTTTGAAACACTAACTGTACACAAATCTATCTAGGCTATCCGCCGTGTAATTAAATAAATTGTAAAATTATGAAATACCAATGAAATCAAAATGGGACCACATGGGAAGAGCACCAACTTTCAAATTAAAAAAGAATCACTCAGTCGAAAGTTCTGAGGTAGAAAATATAAAAGAAAAAATACAATCGAATTGTGTTCGAGCTACAATGCTATATGCCAGGATTTCGACATATATAGTGTACGGTGTAGTAAAATTAAAAAATATGTAAGGGCTAAACTATAATTTAAAATTTATTTCAATAGTTTTGTATTGGTTGTAATTTAAAGTTAAGTTTAAATGTTGTTTTATCTATTATTTTTAATTTAGCTTTTTTTCTTTCATTGTACAATTATTTATTGTTGAGTGTTTTTTGTGCATGTTGTGTTCGCTCATAGAAGAACATTCACTTGTGTGTTAAGTTCCGTATCAACTTTATCTGTGTCCATTATTTTGTAATGTGAGTGTAATGTTCAGTTTGCGATCCTAATTAAAAAAAAAAAATCGAGAACCTCCTCCTTTTTTGAAGTAGGTTGAAAACATTTAAAGGTACATCACTTCCAACGCTGTATAACGTTGGAAGTGATTCCTTTAAATAATGATTACAAATATTTTGGTGGTGACTATTTACAACGCATATTTTTCATAAATTATACGTATATGGATTTTAGTATTTTCATCAAAGCATCAGGTCATTCAAGATTCGTAACCTGCGATAACGGGTTATCCCCGGATCGATATTTTACCGAAATGACAACTCAATGATTGACTTTCACCGATCACAAAAGGGCATTGGTGTATACTTTTGAAGAATAAATTGCAGTCAATTGAGTCAAGCGTCAGAATATTTGAATAAACTACGTTATTAAATAAAAACACGTGTAAAAGATTTTGACAAGATTTATCAGTATTGGTAATCATGCGCTTACCCCAGAAAATTGAGACCGTTATTTTACGTTCAAACATATATTGGACACAATAAATAAAAACGGTTATTAAAAAGTTTTATACTAATGACAATTATGTTTATAAAACCTCGTTTACACTTGCGACGCAAGTTAACACGACATCTTTTAACTTCCACCACATTCTCTCAAATACTCGATTGTTTTTATCATTTTTTTAGTAGTATGTAGTCATTTTACTGTGGCAGTAATAAATAAAAATAGTAAATCTATCGTTATATCTTTTTTTAATTAAACCCTAAAACGAAATGGTCTTATCTAATAATGCCAAGAGAACAATTTGAATGTATATACAGGTGTACACATTCATATATATATAAATAACAACAAAAACACGGTTAACTCATCTAACGACAAATAAGTGATTAGAAACCTCTTTATACAAATAAAGTTAAAATCCAATTGCCACGTATGAACGAACGATTGGTTGCGTAAATTTACTATGCAAATTTACTATGCTATGGTTGCTAAATTGGAAATCGCGCCGTATTGTATGTCGGACGACCGTGGAAATGCGCGCGTCCGCGAGCCATTGACACGACGCTCCCGGGTTCGAACCCGCGCACACAGCTGTTTTATCTCGCGCCCATCTCGCTCCTACGCCTTTTGTGACCCGGCTCGCTTCAAATTAATGTCCGCATGAAACTACGCATGGACGTCGCTCATTAAAAAGAATTTCGCTTTAAGATCACCTCTCTGCTATCCTGGTAACGTAACTGTTTATAACTTTTATACATACTCTTTGTTCTCCATTACGTTCGTCTCTTATAACGCTCCATACATACCACGTTTTAAGGCTGTAATTCAATAATATTATCGCGAGACACTCGATGGATATAGATTATATTCGCTTTTATTACGAATGTTATTTCTTGTTGTTTATTACTTGATGTGAAGTGTAGGGTGAGGTTTTGAAAGCACACAATATAAAAAAGGGATTCTCTTTGATCTACACTTAGAAATGTGCTGTTAATTAAAACTTAATTGAGGTTAGTGTGAGAGTGTAATAAAGCAAAAATAAACCATAAACCATAACAATAAAATGTAATCGTTCCAACATTTATTTTATTGCTATCGGATCGGGGAGAGATCAAGGTCAATAAATTATAAAGAATTGTTATTTTATTTAACTAATTTTATATTTTCACAGATTTGTCAGGATCCTTTCTCTCATATATCCTTCAGAAAAATATAACATCTAACATTTTTGTCCTGAGGCTATCTATAACACATTTATACACAGATTTAAGAGATAGATATATCCCTTTTACTAACATTTGTTAGAAAGAGCACAAGTAACTACTCTTCTCAACCTGATCTTATTTGAACGTTTTTGAAAGTCGAATACGAAGGGCATCGTGATTTGACCTTTCCAAAAAGATACATTTTTACATTCTTTTTAAACGTCTTCGTGAAAAAGCCGTGAAAGCTCATTGTCCGGGCGCTCTTTTTTATTTCAATATACTCGAGCAACCCGCGTTCGATCCCCGATGCCGGCACCAATTAAATTGTTAATTTTAAGTGCTCATCGGTGAAGGAAAACATCAATAACACAATAATAAAAAAATATTTAGAGGATATCTGAAGTCGGCAAATCCACAATGGGGTCGTGTGGTGGACTATGCTCTTATAGACTCTGTACAGAGGAAACTTTTGCCCAGCAGTGGGACATATAAAGGCTGTTACTTTACTCTACTTTGTAAAAATCTCCGGGATCGAACTGGTCTGTATAGATCGGAGGCAGGTAGCAACTAGCCTCACTGCTACTACGGTTCATTTCAGCATTTTGTAAATATATAACTCGATTGTTGAATTCACGAAATTAAAAATGAAACGTTTCCACGCTTTATTTATCGGTGTAGGTTGACCATGAAACATGTAGGATATCTTTTAGTTTTAAACACGGGCATGCCTCGTCAATGATATGACTCTATCCTGTTTAAGGTTATAATGTATGGAAAAGTTTGAGAATAATAATATATCTATATTATAAACTTTGGTATGTGATAAAGGCAAGACGTAAAATGATTCTTTATAACCGTAATAATGATTGTTCCTATAGTCTAAAGTTCCTTCGATAATTATTTTTAAACTATTGTTATACTATTGCTTGGACACTGATTAAAATAGAGTCTAAAAATATTAAAATGACTAACGTGAAGTTTGCACAGGAAGCTCTGCAAGGTCATAAAATATAACTCCGTGAAATCCATTTGTGTTAGCTATACTTTGTTTTATCGAGCTAAGAAGGTAGACATATAAATACTTTTATCAAATCACCGTAGTTTCACTTTGCACAGCAATAACACTGGTATAATTGCTTATTTTATCAATTTAATATCACTAATAAAACACCACTCTAACGATTTAATTTATGATACCGATTGGGCAGCACTATCGTGTATACTTCTGGTTTGACAGCCAAAGAAGAAGACGAAGACCATGAAATGCTTCGTGCAGCTTCATTTATACACCATAGAATGACACTTCTTTTAGTGTTGCCAACAACCTCAAGGTATGACTACTTTTAGTGCTGCCAACATTTGTTAATTCGACTTAGTAGTTTAAATTCAATGTTAATTTATATGACTATTATATATTAAAGACTGTATAATATAGAGTGATGGCTTCACATCATAAACGCCTCATTTGGTTAATCATTCATAATAATGTCGATAAAAACCCGATATCAGGGACAGCACATAATATAAAGTTCTTTAAGTTCTGCTGTTAATATTTTTAAGAGAGGACCGAAAAGCGTTCGACGTGGTCACCCTAGCGTCGGGGCTTTCGGTGGACAAGTTCGACGGCATCCAGTCGTTTCGCAGACACTCGGTCAAGGCTGCCACACTGTACGCATTCGGAGGCGTTGCTCCCTCCTCCACCGCGAGTGTTGCTCACGCGAAAAAGACAAAAATGACTGCAGGGGGTATAAGAGGCTATCTTGTAGTTTGGGACTAAGTGAGGAATAATTGCCGATTGTTTCATTAAGTATTTTTAAAAATTTTAACTCTTGAAATGCTTATAATGTTTTTCAAAAATATTACAAACATTTTATTAAATATATATCAGTATATAAAGACAATAAGTGTTCACAACTGTTATAAATGAGTTTATTTATGCGTTCGTTTTGGCTTGTTGTATACTACACTGTTTAATGTTTTTGTACAGAGATTTTTATCACCTCACTGATAAAGTATTCTCGTACTCGATATTATTTATGGCGATACGTTATAAAGCATAATTTTGTTTATTTAACAGAATTCAAAATTAATGAAATTTATCGGCAAAAGTAATATAATTAAGGTACGTGACGTCAAATGACTTTGCCATCAAATAAAAGCTACAATAAATACATTAAATAGAACATAAAATATAATAATTTGTCCAGGACTAAAAAATATATTCATTTAATGTACCACCTTGATGTAAAAAATTGTATTAATTGATTAATAGAATATCGACTTGGTGTTAATGAATTAAATTACCACTAAATCTATTTATATTTGTATACTAACATATAAGAACATATTATAATGTAAAAATTGTTATTCAGTCGAGCCCATCCATCAAAACTTGGCTTCAAAACTTCAAAACATCTAATAGAAGGTGTCTTGTTTTCGGTAATTCACCGTTAAAGCGGAGATAACGGGAAGTCCATTAAATTCATCACAATTAATTTTCAATTAATCAAATAGCGTCTAAAAATATATAATATTTAATTCACCTATTCTTGATAATTAACTATTCGACTATTTATTTAAATCAATTTATTTAGAGAAGAGAAATATGGGCCAGGAATAAATAATAATTATGATCAATAAATAAAAAAAAAAACAATAAAAACAATTATGATGAATAAATAATATTTGTGACCAAAATTTGAACGTTTTGACATTACGCTTTTAAAACAAAAATAAACTTGCTAGGTTCTACAAAACATTGTAGTCTCTTAATCTTCGAAGTTTGTTTATTCAGATGAGGATTTAAGATACATATGATACTTTGATTCCGAAAAAATCACCTGTTTCATCTCTCGTTTCATAATAAAACGGTTGATTATGACGGACAAAGCAGTGACGGAAAACATGTGCCAGTAACAAAATTTCTTAGCTCGATTTGCTCAGAGAATAATGTTCTCTGTAAATAATCCCAGAAGTTTGCTAATAGATGGCGCCACAGAATTCGCGAATTATAAACCGAAACTGCGATAGTAGCGACATCTACAATTCATAAGGCCATTTAAGTTTTACTAAAATTGCTTTTATTTCAAAGCAGTTTTTTGAGTATATTATAGTTGGACGTCTATACAGCGATGATTTTATTATCGTATTTATCATTACTGTTTATGAATGTAAACGTTTCGCTATAAACATATTTCAAGTTAACTTTAGGAGCTAGGTATAACAGGTATACAATTTCATAGAGAATGTTTAAATTAATAAACAGATTTCTTACATAGACACCAAAGATTATAAACCTATATCCTTTCAGGAACATTCAACACTAAAACTTTTTCATTATAAATAATGTAATTTGTTTTTGTTTGTTAATATTTGATTTATTGTTGAGCTTAATACATCATTCGACAAAGATACTATTTCACTGGGTAAATTTCGCATACATGGCCTCGATTTTATAAACTTAACTCACAATTATATCGGGAAACAATGAGCAGGAGAGTTAAATATTTCATTTCTTTTAATGGAATAAGGGTAGACAGACTTGCAATTATAAAAACTTTTTTTTTGGAGTAATTTTTAGATTAAAGCCTAAGATTAAAAGGAAGATATTTGATTCAAAGATAAACAGACATTTGTTTAGGCAATAAAAACCTATATATTATAATCTTTTGTAATTTCTATCTTTAAAAAAAAGTAGGGGTTTAAAAATTTAAAATCTATTTAAAAAGTTAATTTTTTTTCTGTAACTTTTGAAAATAAAAAAAAGCGTTACTGGTATACGTATATTGAGTGATGTAATTCACGCTATTTCACGAAAGTGACTAAGTAGAGTTCTTGAACGGGTCACAATGTCAATTCCGAATTCACAAACTACTTTCAGATTTCGTAGCAATGTTGTTATTATTGTTTTTCGACTTGTGTCGTTTATTTAAGTATATGTGACCTTGGAAAGTTTTGCTTTTAAACTCCAGTAACTATATAATAACTTTCATGAACATTGCCTTCTCTTATCTTATGAAGCTTGCTTGATAAAGAGGTTTAAGATTGTGTTATTTAATAACCGTTTTTTTTTTTAATTAAGATATATTTGCTGCATAATTACACCTTCCTATTGCAATCAGTTTTATAGATGGTATAGCCTAGATTTTACTTAGAAGCCACCTTGAATTCTATATGGTTCACAAGATAGTGAATAAGATGCATTTATTTCATTAATCCCGTACTATTTGTGGGATGGTCACGGACGGTAAGTATACGAAGTTCGGCCTCCACCGACAGCTCGACCGTCTCTTTATACATTATATACCTGAATATATATGCACGCGTTATGTTTATATAGAATATTATTAATACAATGTAAAAGTATTTTAAAGCTACCTATACAATCGACGTGATTTTACCCGTTTAGTTTGGTTGAGCCTTGGACCTTCCGAATGGAGAATTAACCATTTTCCCGTCGCGTTAGACATGTCTACATTAACTCAAATACATATGTTCAGTGAGACAAATAATACAAACTCTCACGTTTAAGCTTTTAACCTGTAATGGGGTAGACAGCCATAGGTAAGGTTTTCGATTTTAGATTTCAAAACACGGTTTCTAGATTTCAAAGAGAAATTTCTTTTATATAAATCCTTTTATAAAAATATATACATTAGTAGAGCTGACTTCGTCACTTACTACTCTTAATCTCAGCGGGGTTGACCCCTGTCTATCTACAGCGGATGCTATCCTCGTTTCAGTCTGTTTCGTGCCTACACAAGACTGGCACAGTTACTAAGTTAACGGTTTTGGCACCGGGTGTCATGGGTTCGATGCCCAAAAATGCGTAAAAACCGGATGATTGTGAAAGCCAAGCAAATACCGTTAACAACGTGATTCACATGAGTGCCGACCTCACCTAAGGGCAGGAGAAAGAAGGGGACGAGACAGAAGCCTATCATCCGGCAAAAAAGTCGGAAAGAAGGAAACCTCCTTGGTGCTCGTCAATGGGATTCGACTTCACGACCTCCACGCCCGGAATCCTATAACCCATCCACTAGGCCAATAGTGTAGTGTAATATATATTAACATACACAGCCATACATTTTTACGGTTTGTGTCGAAACATGGTTGATAACAGTGCGTATTACATTACTTTGGCTTTAATTTTTTTTTATGTTTTTCTCACATTCGTAGCAATTGATGTCGTTCAACGATTCAGGGCAAGCATTTTCTGTGGGTCACAAAAATAAGGGATAAGGAATTCTAGACGCACAATTCAATGTATGTGTATCGTATATTCACAACAATATATGTGTTTGTTTTCGTAAATATTTTCATGTGTGCTTGAAGTTTTCAAACGGTTCCACTGGAATTTTTGGTTGGCTCAGGGTCATTTAATGGTCCCGAGTACCTACAGTTTGACCCGGACTCATGATACCAGGTACAGACCCAAGATAATTAAATAGGGCTAAGGCATCCCGGCTAAGGCAGTGTAGGTAGCCGTGAAAGGAAATTCAAAAGGGTCACTGGCGACTTTTACCGGACGAAGGAATTTAGGGCTGGACCAGCCACTTTGTTGGCACTGGTAAGTGTTACCACAAAGCAGTTAGGGTACCAGGGAAGGGAAGTCCCAGGATCGTTCTCATATGTAGTGCAGATGGGGGATGCCAAGGTATTATTGCTAGAGTGTTTAAGTTAATCAGGGCCCCACAAATCCCGTCCTCCCCTCAGGAGACTGATCTATATTAAATGAAACTAGTTTGTGTTAAAAATCCGTAAACTAGTTTCAATTAATATGCATAACATTCGCTTAAAATCAAGAAATCAATAGATTGCTATCTTTTAAAGATTTTTTCAATACCAAAATATCAGAAAATTTTGTCAAATCGAGAGTTGTTAAAAATTCATTTATTCCATAAGGCCCTTTGTAAATTCTTTTAAAAAGTTGTTTGTAACAAGGCTTTAATAAATGGCATTAAGAAAATATCAAATGTGTATGGTATTTGAATAGTAGGCGAGTGGATATGAGTTGAAATGATTTTTTTTTAAATTGGCCTAGTTTTTACCTCTTTTCCGCACCAGCACTTTATGTGAAACGTGATACGAGAATAATAAAAGTTGTATAAGATCGTATAGTAATTGACATAACGTATGGTATGTATATGGGAATGGTCTTAATGATATTAGCAATCAACCCTCAGGGTTAAAAAAGATATGCCCTACCATAACAGGTTCACCGCCAGGGTATATCTGGTTGTATACCTTTATGCCAATAACGCCAAGCAAGTGCCTGACCCATGCAAAAAATTGATAAGATTAAAAATTAGTTAAGATTATCTCCTAGTGAAATTTATCTTTTCAATATAATTTAACGCAATCAAGTTTAAATGTATGTGGTTTTCATGTGTTTTGTTTAAGTTTTTGGAAAGTATCGTTCAAGTTGTAATGTGTGGAAAACGAGGCGTATGACAAATAATATGTACAGAGTCCATCATTGCCAAACGACAATAACAACAGTTAACACCGAACACCATTCCATATAGACAGCTATGACGTTACATTTCCATTAGAAGTGGCGTGGACGGTTTTAGAGGAAAGGGGATGTTTTCGAATTATTCGAACGGATACCCGAGCGATAAGTTTTCGGCGTTTAGTCTATTCAACTACATTACTCCGATGTGCTCGAGGGCAGTAGACGTGAAGCATCGCGGGGAGAAATGGAGACGTCACAATCGCATGGCAACACTCACCCGCCGCGAGGAGTCCTCCGTGTGAGTGGGAAAGCGATCTGCAGTCGAGGCTATTGAGCTATCTTGGAGCGCGGCGCGTGGGCTTCGAAGCTGGGTCCAGGTGGGTCCAGGTGGGTCCCGGCGGGGCCGGTGGGCGCGAAGAGGCAGGCGAAGCGGGCGCGCGGCCGCCTCGAGCCCGCTTCTTTGAGCCGCTCGCTTTCGGCGCGTCGCGGCGTTCCGCTTCTGCGCGAGCGAGACGGCGACTGTTCGGACGGCTCCGCCGCGCCGGGCGAGTTCAACGCACCGGCCGCCTCCGTGGGCGCGGGCGGCGAGGCGCGCCGTCCCGCTCGCACCCGCCGCCGCTCGCGCTCCACTTTTTGCCGCGCGCACGAATTTCGATCGGTGCACCGCGACGCGGACGTCTTGGTGCTTGCGTTTCGATTTTATCCACACGAGTCGACGGCGCGGTTGCGGCTTCTGGCTTTTTGGGTTTTGCGATGCGTCGAACGTATTTATAAGAATGTGTTTGAAGGAGAAAATACAGTGGGGCCGCAAGGGATCTTGATGGGACCGAAACAAAAATTACCGATAATACATATTGAGCCGACAAAAAGCGTGTACGCTACACACTTTCACTAATTATCGACGAAAGTGCGGTTCGAAAGAAAATTGTTGCCTTCGTGTACGTATTGTATGCAGAATTAATTACGCGTAAAGCTTCCGTCAGATGGTAGGAAGTCGATTAAAAAAATACATAGTCTTATACGATTTAACTTACTGATTAACCAATGAATAATATGATTAACAGTAGAAAAAAAGTAACGATTTCTCAAAATTATAATAAATTACAAGAAGAAATAATGCATTAAATTGTATGACACGCGGTTCAGAATGCAGTATGCCAAAGAACGAGATTAAATAATTCAATTCAAGGTTGCATAGCAACAGATTCTATTCGTGGTTGACTATTTATAACACTTGTGCCAGTCAATTAGAGGTCCAGACTGTATATGGAGCAAGTAAAGACATCTTGTTAGTGTTAATAAGACGTAATTAGGTACGAATGGACACGATCCTGGCATCGGGTACTTATTAATAGCAAAAAAAAAACGTTAAAGTTTTAAACAAATATAATGTGGATAAAATTTTCAGGAACATCATTTAATTTAATGTTATAATAGCAAAAGTAGTTATACTTTAATGTATTGATAAGTAAATGGTTAGTTTGATCACATTTTTATTAATAATGTCTACTGGGGTGAATATATAAAGAACTCATAATTTTTTTCTATAATTGCTCATAAAAATCTATGTAGTGAAATATTTGTATGTATTTTTAGAATTCATTGTAATTGAAGTATCTTCGAAAAGGTTTATATTCAACAGTTGCACAATAAAGTGGAAACCTTGTGGGCCAGTGGAAATATTTATAGTATGCACATGCCGAAGTGTTTTTATTTTATATTCAAGGCTGCGTCATTGTGTTCATGTAAACAGGTATGCGTTCCGTTAATGACAATGAGAGATGCTATAAAATATCAAGTAAGCACCTTGATATGGTCATGGCTGTAAAATTTTAGCTTGTTACGGGCCTCCGTTATTGCCAACCGCTGCGATACAAATCTATTGCGTTAAATTTAAGATAAACAGTTTAAGAATATATATGGAATTTTAATACTGATCTTCTTCTAGCTAACGATGTAATATTATTAATTTCAATTTGAACTCAAAAAAAAAATAACTAGGATTAAAGATAATTAACAAATCGTTTTTTTTATGTGAAAAGTTATCAAACGAGCAGACGGTTCACCTGACGTTAAGTGAATATCGCCGCCCATGGACATCTGCCACACTCGAGGGTTACAGATGCGTTGACAACCTTTTGAAAATTGGGCTCCGGCCACCTCACTCACCAGAGGAAACGTGAAAGTATTTGTCATACTTCCACTTTAGGCTGGTCTTCTGTGAGGTCGTGGTACTTACCCGGACGGGCCTGCCCATTCGTGCAACAGCCGAGGCTGTTGTGTGGCCCTACTACCGTAAAAAATTTGTTTTAATTACACCGTTTTAATTATTCATTTTATTTTCGCTAAATAATTAACATTCAGATACATATACATTTAAATAGAGTTAAAATATTGATTGAACATAATAAATGTTATACGCAGTCTGTTTAATTTCATAAATCATAACTATGAAATATATTTAAGTAGTTTAAGTAAACATGTTATACAAAAATATTTCAGTTAATTATTTCAATCAGTGAAAGTATAATGAATTAGGCACTTTTTGTGAAAATCCCTAACAGGTAACCGGCAGCAGAGTATGTCTTATTAGTAGGAAATGGAAAAAAGATGAGCGAAGTTAAATCCGCGGCGGGAAAGTATCAAGATCGGCGGGGCGGCGTGCGAGCGCGCCCGCCGGCGGGGCCGCGATGTAGGCGTCGCTCGCGAGCGGCGCAGCCGTACGTCCGCGCGCTCCCGCCGCGGCCTAACGGTGAAATGCGCGCGCGCAGGCGACGGGCGACCTCTGCCTCTCCGCGGCGTCTGCTTTTTCCCGCCGAGCGAAAATCACGCGCGTCTCGCTCTGCGCACGGACGCTGGCTGCGTCAGCACTGACCACTGCCCGGCTCGACCTGCGCGCCTTCCGTCCGCCTGAGTTCGATTTTCGAACGCAGTGACATTTTTATTTGTTTTTTTTTCTTTTTCACCTTTTTTTTCTCAGATTTCTAACGTTTCGCGTTTAGGCTCTTCAGACGTCAATCAAACGCGGTGGCGTGATGTATTTTTAGCTGGGTGCTATCTTATCCGTCGAGAGAATATTGCCCGATTTCAGTTTCTATCCCGCTACCGAATGAATGGCCTCATACAACATGGTGCAGACGAAAAACGATAATTGTTTCATAGATTGGAGAAGCTTTATGGATGGAAATTATAATAACATATTTGGATGTTATTGATAATTTAATATACGCCATAGATAATCCTCATGCTATTTAAAATTGCATAAATAGATTAACTCAGATAACACTTTTGATTTTTAAATTGATTTCATTCTATTGCTTGTTTATCAAACACTCACAATAAGAACCTTCAAGGTCGTGTTACAGAATGAAGTAGGATGAGCAATACCGAGTCTAGCAAAAGGTGTTCATTCATTAATTTCAGGAGCAAAAATAAATTATGCATGAACAATAATTACATAAACTATGTACCACTTGTTTCAATAATGAAATGTTTACAATAAGAAAAATTACACATGGTTTTTGTATACTGGAAAAAAATATGCGTCGAAGGGAAAATATGTAATAAAAAGGCAAAAAAGGCTGTGATATTCTAAAACGTATTATTTTTAAAGGCAAAATTTCTTTTCTATCAAAAATTTTATTTATATGTAGATTTAATTAATGAAGGAGTACTTATTCATGATCATATTCATGATCTAATTTCACGATTTCTTTAATCTAAGGAAAGGTGCATGATAAAAAATTGGCCAAATCAAATCGCCTTTTCTATTCGTACGATAAAAAATTTAAAAGCCACATTGCTACTGATGCCAAATTACATAAATTGACAATTCTGTTGTACCTATCCACAGTTTTTTCATTGTAAGAAGCATTTACGCGTTGGTTGACTTTATTTATTTTTTTTTGTCAGCAGAAAACACTTCTGATTGGTTTAATGATTCTTTTATATTTTTTATCAAACCATCGTCCATGAGATTACCGTTAATAATTTTAAATACGAAAAAAACCTGGCTTGACGACAACAGAACAGGTTTTTTTATAATTTTATTAACATTTATACTTAATTTTAACTATCTGAATCTACTGCAAATGTCTTTTTACTCGGTGCAAATGCACTCAATAGTGCACTGCGAATAAAGCTATTTTCTTAAAATAGTTCTAGATTTTTAACGGATTTATTATCACGCAGTAGTTATCAACTTACAGTAGCAAACTTCCTATGGCGTTAGAGAGAATTTAAGTTTAACAACATAGACCCAATTATTTTCCATCAGATTCTTAAAAACAGTTTTTTTCAAGCAGTGGTACATACCTTTCCTTTACTGAGGACTACTTTAGGAGGATTTTTCAAGATGCAATACATGTACGAACGTCAATTTTATCGCCAAATTCCATAAATACAATTTTACATTAAACCCCAACAGACAATGAATCAGTTTGTAAGCTATATATACTCTTGTGTAACAAGTTAATTTTTATTAACAAAAAACAAAACTGATTTCAAATATCTCGTTCTGTATTGATTTTATTATTGATTTTGAGGAGTTCCCTAAGTATCTCCGGAGCCCAAGATCCAATACCAAGGAAATTAAGATGGGACAAATAAAAAAATTATCATCAAAATCGGTTCACTCACTCGAAAGTTCTGAGATAACAATAATAAAAAAAATTACAGACGAATTGATAAACTCCTCCTTTTTTATAGTCGGTTTAAAAATGGGTTCTCGTCACTCGTGAAAAGTTGTCGTTTATTATTATTTTATACTCCACTATTACACAGTTATAAAAATTTATCGACGTACTATTAAAATCTGCATTGATGTCTTAAGACTTTATTCTGATTGCTAATCCCGTTTAAGTGACTCGGAGCATACTTCCTTTCGTTTATTGGTTATTGATTGGATATAGAGGCAGTCAATGCAATGCATGACAAAAAGTGGTTCCGATGTTTTTAAATGTGCACATGTGTCAGCTTTTAGTCAGACGTTACATGGCAACGGGTCTGCTACATACCTTATCTAGGTTAAAAAATAAATATTCTTAGGACACATTTTTATACAAAACTCTCTAGTCCCAAACTAAGCAATGTTTGTAGTTTGGGTACTAGATAACCGATAAACATACTTAAACATACTTTTCTTTTATAAATAAATACACATATATAAAAACCCAGACAATAGAAGAACACTATGTTCATTGCACAAGATATTTCCAGTAGTGGGGATCGAACCCACACCCCCCGACGCAGGAGGCAGGTCACTACCCACTACGCCAGTTGGGTCATCAGTGGACACGAATAGAGCTTATTAATATAATGGCAAAATTAAGTACAGTCTATTTACCCACGTCGAGTTACCCACGTTTGGTTCAATACAATCCTTGTCGGATGATCAAACGGATGCAAAACAGAATAACATAAGTGAAATCACTCACCTAAAAGCCGGTAAATGGATTTCTTTTCGTCCAGCTACTAGCCTGAAATATACAATAGACTCTATTATTGTACACGTATATTAAAATTGGTTGGTGTTACATTTTTTTTTTATGTGAAAAGTTGCCAAACGAGCTGACGGTTCACCTGATGTTAAGTGAATACCGCCGCCCACGGACATCTGTTACACCCGAGGGTTCCAGATGCGTTCCATTGACTTGATTGAATATGCTAACAGTGATGGCTGAGATGTAACACTCAAGGTTTGAATTAAATTGCGGGACTAAAAGAACAGTAAATTTTGGTCAGTGTGATATGTATGCCACGTCCGCTAGCCCCTTGAGGATAAAGGACGTGTGAGCTCATTTATTTATTTATTTTCATTATTATAAATTGAAGTGATTTTAGGCCTGATGATAATTTGGTGGCAAGAATTGCTACTAGCATTATGCTTTTTATAAACCCATAATTACAACCCCACGAGTTTGGTCTACCTGTCCTGGTAGACCAAATACGTGGTTTTCGACCTCCAGCTGCCTGACGTGGTTCGTACTATGGTGGAGAGCGAGAGGTGTGGTGTGCTGTCCTCGCGTTATCACCCGGAAGAAGGCCGATGAGTGCATAAGGGAGACAACTGTCACCCTGGATATCCTGGGCCATTGGCTGGCCATTGAGGTGCTAATTGCTCCGGCACAGCACCGTTTGACCGAGTGTCGTAACACCAGGCCCCAAAAGGTCGTAGTCGCACCGGGACGACAGAAGATAAGCGTCTTCGTGTTCCCGGCCTGTGCTAAAGAGTCAGGTGTAATGTATTTTTAGTGGGTACGCGGTTCTGATCAGGACTATGTGAGTTTGATCTCATCATCATCAGCCACAAGACGTCCACTGTTGAACCCAGGCCTCCTCTTAGAACTCCACAACGAACGACACTGCCATTTGCGTCCGGTCCTCGGTCCACTAGAGGGAGACCTTTCAACGCTGTGTTCTAAGTGGTTACTGAAGTGGACAATGCGAGGTCATGGCACGAAAATATAATAATTTAGAAGGCGGATATATGTATCAACTAGTTCTAATCGAGCTCCTAAAATATTTCTGATAACAGTATCAAGATCCATCTTCATTTAACTGCACTTTGAGTTATTTTATTCATTCAGTTAGAGGTCCCAGTGTATATATTTGAATCTTTGATGGCTAAAAGGCAAATTTATATTTAAATTTTGATTTAAATGGCGAACATTCTAAACACCTAGTGGTCGTAAGCCAGGAGTGAAACCAGAGGTCGGAGAGTGCGCAATGGGGCGACTCTACCGTGGCTAATTTGATTTCGTAGAGCGGCTCTACCCCGAGTCTCTCTAGGGGAGGGATGCATGCGCTTGTGATGTTAATGCAAAACAAAGAAAGCTAATCAGGGGTTGGTCGTCCGTGCGTCGGATGCCCAAAGATGATTCCTGCATCCAACATCATTGATCCTGGAATCCCCAGTGTCAATGATTAAGATTCATGCAAACTTCCAAGGGCATGAGTTCGAATTTCTTGTATAACTGTATCTGATAATTTCTAATATACGATTATGTGTGTTAAGGTTCGTACTTATTTGCCTATAAAAATTATTGTCCAAAGTGAACTTCAATGCAATTTTCATGTTCAAGATTTTCAAATAAGTGTGTATACTAAATAACGTCTAACTGATAGATTGATGGGCACAAAACAACGTTTGATTTTCCCTCGACTCGAGGGTTACGATTAAAAAATAAACTCTTCAGAGCAGACGGCGTTTAATTACGATAACAAAATTTTTATCAAGCCTACAAAGAGTCTTCATTAAACCGATCGCCTAAACAACCCCCGCGCGACAGATAAAAAACAAAGGAGAAACAAGATCAACCCTCCGCGAAACGGAAAATAAAAATAAATATTGTGTGTTCGGCACGCACACACTTATATAAAACGTGTATTTGTATCGGGTCGTGTAACTAAAGCTCGAAAAAAGAAATAGATAAAGGAGCGGGACGGCGGCATGCGCTAGAGCAAGACGGCAGCTCTCCCCCACAAATATATGGCATGTCTATTTGGGATTTTTAATGCGACGTTGCCGTTCCTCGCCGAATAGAGAGGGAGGGTCACCGGTTTCGGATGTCCAGCCCTATGCCCGCTCTAAGGTTTTTTATTTGTTTCTTCAATAGGTGCACGGCGTTGGGAGCAAACGTAGGGCCAGTGTGCAGTGTAAAAGGAAAAATCAAACATGCATGCAGCTTTGATGTCTCGTTACCAAATTGTTTTAATACCATTTTTTCCACCGATGACGTTCATTAAAAAGGGGTGAAAATCATTCTCATTCTCTAGTTTGTTGTAAAAAATATGAGTCATAAAATGTTTATTACTTTTTTTTTGACAAAAGAGGCAAATACTCAAGTTGAGATGGAGTTTCTCCAAGGGCG